CAACAGCAGCGCCCAGCGCGGACACGCGAAGACTGCGAGGTCGACCCCAAGGTCCAGGGACGGACCACCGCCCTTTCCACGTGAGGCGGCGGGCTCCACGCTGCAGCGGCAAGGGCTGACGCGCCCGAACTCAGACGCGCCTGTAGTGCCGGATATCTCCTTCACGCAGTGCGCCGTGTGCTTCGAGTCCTTCGCACTGGGCGAAAAGAGAGGGAGGCTGCACTGCGGTCGCTAATTTCATGCAGAATACTGGGGCCGCATCGCTCAGGTGCGCGTGTCAAGAGGAAGGACAGGGGCCGATGTAGAGGCCCCATGTGCCATCTGCAGGGGGCCTGATCTCATCGTGGCGGAGCATCCCTATGCGGGACAGACCGACGCATCGAGTTCAGCAGCCGTGGCCATCCAGCAGGCTCAGGGGACATCTGACCTGCGCAGGACGCTGGGCGAAGTCCTGATGTCGATTCCCCCGACAAGCTCGGCCTCGAGCCATCAGATGCCTGCGACATCCCCAGCAATGGCAACTCCGATCCCGCCCCTTATATGATGCGGGGACACCTGCAGTCAACGCCCCGTCGATGCGAGATGCGGGGGCACCTGCGGCACATGCGGCGCCGAATCCTTTCAAGAATTCGCTGCTTGAGCGCATGGAACAGCAACGGCAACAACAGCGGGCGGGTCCAAGACACTGCCGCAGCCCCCGCTCGGCCGCGAGCAGGAGGGTGGACCTCCCATCGAACGGTGCGACCTTGCAAAAGGCAGTGGCTGTAGAAAGGGCGATGCACGAACAGTTCACAGGATTCATGCTACATGACAACGATTCGCACCAGTGGCGGAGAAACGAAGGACTGTGCGAACCGATCAACACCAGAAGGCACGCCAACTGGGCAGTTTGGCGTGAGCCTGCCGCAGTGGAAGAAGTGAGCGCTTTTGTGGGCCACTGGGATCCTTTGACTCTAAACCTGTCGAGGAACCAGTTTATCGCCCACCAGAGGAGGCTCAGAAGGCATGTGGGCGCGGAAACATATGAAAGTTCGACCCCAGCCGGCATCCAGCATGTGCATTCAGCAGGCAGACTCACAGTTCTGATCCTTACAAACTCATTATGTTGGTGGGCATTCTAGATCGAATATTAATACCATCGGAATCAACGCAGCACGAGAGTTGCACAACCAATCCCGCCAGCATGGACACTTTCCGAGGGTCATGAACCTAGAGAGGCTGACGCGCGTCATCTGAGTTGGCAGTGGCGCAGCCATAAGCCGGCCCATGGGAAAGTTCGCGATTGCTTGTAAACACCCACATCACGACAAGCCACATACCGCAAAGGTGGGCACTCTTCTCGTGGTAACATCGCAGCAGGATCCGGCTCAGACTTGCCCGCCATCCTCGGTTTAACCTCCGCGCGGTCCAAGAGGGCAGCCCTGATCTTGGAGGGGGGCACAGAGCGCATTATCTTTCCAGGCCCGCGCGCGCACGAATTGCAGCTTCGCAAAGGCGCGCAGGTTCTGATGCTGGGAAAGACGTCCTCGGGACACCTGGCCACCCCATGTTCGAATTACGGGGGGGGCCACTCCCGGAACAGAGGGCGAGTCAGCAGCTGGGACTATCACTTGTGTCAGCGCAGGGAGCTCATCCCAGCGCGAGACAGAGGCCGACTGGTGTCGGTAAGTTTCGGGGCATCAGATGTCGCGTTGGGGGTCCCAAGAACTGAGCTCTCGTGGGGTGAGGGTGCCAGGGCGCGGTGGGGGCGCGGTGGGGGCGCGGCAGGGCGCGTCGGCAAGTTTCGGGCCAGAAATTGTGGGGCGGGGGGTCCCAGGAATTGAGCCCTCGTGGGGTGGGGGTGCCAGGGCGTGGTGGGGGCGCGGTTCGGGGTGTCTGTAAGTTTCGGGTCAGAAATTGTCGCGTGGGGGCCCCCGAGCGCTGAGCTCTCGTGGGGTGGGGGCGCCGTGGCGCGGCGGGGGCGCGGCAGGGGGCGTCGGTGAGTTTCTGGCTAGATAGTCGTGTGGGGGGTCCAAGAACTGAGCTCTCGCGGGGCGGGGGTGCCCGGCCGTGGTGGGGTTGTGGCGGAGGCGCGGTTGGGGGTGTCGGTGAGTTTCGGGCTAGAAATTATCGCGTGGGGGGTCCCAATGGGGCGGGGGTACCAGGGCGCAGTGGGCGTGGCGGGGGCGCGGCGGGGGCGCCCGTAGGTTTCGGGGCAGAACTTGTCGCGCGGGGGGGGGCCCAAGGAGTGAGCTCTCGTGGGGCGGGGGGGGCGGGGGCGCGGCGGGGTCGCGATGGGGGGTGTCGGAATGTTTCGGGGGGGCCCAAGAAGTGAGCTCTCGCGGGGTGTGGGTGTCAGGGCGCGGTGGGGGCGCGGCGTGGGAGGTTGGTACGCTTCGCGTTAGAGAAAATTCTCGCGTGGAGGACCGCGAGAACAATGCTCTCGTGGGGCGGCGATGCCGGGGCGCAGTGGGTGCGCGCTGGTGCTGCGGCGGGGGCGTCGGCAAGTTTCTGGACAGGTAGTAGCGTGGGGGGTCCCAAGAATTGAGCTCTCGTGGGGCGGGGGTGCCGGGGCGTGGCGGGGGTGTGGCGGGGGCGCAGTGGGGGGTGCCAGTAAGTTTCGGGTCAGAGATTGTCTCGCGCGGGGTCCCAAGAAGTGGGCTCTCGCGGGGTGGGTGTGCCAGGGCGCGGGGCGCGGCGGGGGCGCGGCGGGGGGCCCGTAAATTTCCGGCCAGAAATCGTCGCGTGGAGGGGGCCCGAGAAGCCTGAGCTCTCGTGGGGTGAGGGTGCCGGGGCGGGCTGAAAATTATCGCGCGGGGGGGGGCAATAATTGAGCTCTCGTGGGGTGGGGGTGCAAGGGCGCGGTGGGGGCGCTGCGGGGGGCGTCGGTAAGTTTCGGGATAGAAAGTGTCGGGGGCGGTCCCAAGAATTGAGCTCTCGTGGGGTGGGGGTGCCAGGGGCGCGTGGGGGCGTGGCGGGGGCGCGGTGGGGGGTGTCGGTTTCGGGTCAGAAAATGTCGCGTGGGGTGTCCCAAGAACTGAACTCTCGTGGGGTTGGGATGTCGGGGCGCGGCGGGGGCGCGGCGGGGGTGTCGGTGAGTTTCGGGCCATCAGTTGTCGCGGTGGGGTTCCCAAGGGCTGAGTTTTCGTGGCGGGTGCTAGGACGTGGTGGGGGCGCGGCGAGGGATGTCGGTAAGTTTCGGGTCAGAAATTGTCGCGTGGGGGGTCCCGAGAACTGAGCTCTCGTGGGGTGGGGGTGCCGGGGCGTGGTGGGGGCGTGGTGCGGGCGCGATGAGGGGTGTCGGTCAGTTTCGTAAGCTTCGGGGTAACAAGTGTCGCGTGGGGGCCCCAAGAACTGAACTCTCGTGGGGTCGGGGTGCCCAGACGTGGAGGGGGCGCGGTGGGAGGCCGGTGGGGGGTGTCGGCAAGTTTCGAGTTAGAAATTATCGCGTGGGGGTCCCAAGAACTGAGCTCTCGTGGGGCTGGGGGGCCGTGACGTGGTGGGGGCGTGGTGGGGGCGCGGTGGGGGATGTCGGTCAGTTTCGGGCCAAAAGTACTCTCGTGCGGGGTCCCAGGAACTGAGCTCTCGTGGGGCGGGGGTGCCATGACGTGGGGCGTGGTGGGGGCGCGGCGGGGGGTGCTGGTAAGTTTCGGGTCAGCAATTGTCGCGTGGGGAGGTACCAAGGACTGAGCTCTCGTGGGGTGGCGGTGCGGGGGCGCGGTGGGGGCGCGGTACGTCGGTCAGTTTCGTGCCAAAAATTGTCGTGAGGGGGGGCCCAAAAACTGAGCTCTCGTGGGGTGGGCGTGCTGGGACGTGGTGGGGGCGCGGTAGGGAGTGTCGGTAGGTTTCGGGGCAGATATTCTCGTGTGCGGGGACCCAAGAAGTGAGCTCTCGTGGGGTAGGTGTGCGGGGACGTGGTGGGGGCGCGGTGGGGGAACTCTCGTGGAAACAGTGTCGGGGCAGATATTGTCGCGTGGGGGGTCCCAAGAACGAAGCTCTCGTGGTGTGGGGGTGCTGGGGCGTGGTGGGTGCGCGGTGGGGGGTGCTGGCAAGTGTCGGGCCAGAAATTGTCGTGTGGGGGGGGGGCAAGAACTGGGTTCCTTAGAACAGGTGCAAGACGGGGGGGAGCGGGGGCGTGCCCCCGTTTGATCGCACACGCTTCTGGCGTCCGCGATACTAATGAGGAGCATTGGTGAACCCCTCCCCGCAGGGAAGAAGGGGGTTGGAAGATGAAGCCCGCTAAACTCGTCACACGTACAGGGATGGTGAGAGTTCGCGGGAGCTGGTTGCGCTTGGTCGGGGCGCCCGAATGGAGTAATTGAGACGCTTGCGCAAGTGACCCGAACCTTCTGCCATTCAATATGGCGTATGCATACATGATCAGGTCGTTTCGGATGTGAGTGCTGGCGGTTGCAGGGTTTGGTGCATCCAAGCCCGTGCTCCTTAAATGTGCATGACATCACGTAACTGATCGGTAAGGTGACGTACGTCTACCGTTTCTGCAGCCTTTCACTCCACCCACCTGCATTGATCGCAGCTATCGATGTCCAGCGTGTCTGAAACAGCGTCGCTCGTCATCGCCATCGTTCGTAGTCGGTCTGCCCATCGTATCGGGGAGGCTCGCCGATTGGTTCATCCTCCCCTGTCTCCGATATTGTCGGAAAGCAACCGTGTTCTTCATCCTTCGCCCTCAATTGGAAGTGGTTTTCGATTCTACGTTGCCCTTGCCAGGGCCCACGGATTCAATGCCAAGGGGGGCGGGGTAGCAGGGGAGTCCATCGACAGACTCTTGGGAACATTCCGAGGTGTTCTAGAGGGCAGGCTCCCGCACTGACCCCTGGCTCGGGCCTCTCTGGGAACACCAGAGAGTCACGCTGGATCTGTGGGGGGCGGAGTAGAATCTGTCACTTGGCAGCAGAGGTAGAAAGGTTTGCGATCTCGAGGACCGAGTTGGACGGGCCGATTCCCGATGTGAAGGGAGGGATGGGGGCCGGCATCGGACACACATGGAGGCGTGGGAGGTATTCTCCCCAAATTTCACGGCGCTGCTGGTGGGCCTCCTTGCCAAGGATGACGTCTTCGGTGCCTGCCACGCTGGGCGGACGCAGAGGGCATCGGCCAGAGCGACCCAGGGGGTGAACTCCGAGGATGAGGGGGAGGATGAGGAGGAGGAGGAGGAGGAGGACGTGGAGGAGGAGGAGGAGGAGGAGGAGGAGGAGGAGGAGGCGGGATTTTCTCCCGAGCGCACTTCTCCAGGGGCAGGCCTCCTCCTCCCCTTCCTCCTCGGGCCCTGCCTCGGCGGGGAAAGCCCGGGGAGCGTGGAGCCCAGGCGGATGGCAGGCTCACGGAGAGACCTGCACGGGCCCAGGAGGTCCCGCGAGCGCCCCCTGCAGCTGCTTCGGAGCATCGCGCGCGCTCCGGCGCCTGCGAGCCCCCTCCTGTCCTGCCCGCAGAGATAGGTTTCCCAGTATGCCCCGAGTGGAGCCAGGGTCTTAGTGGGCCCTGGAAACGACAGGGCCGTTTTTGTTCCCGGTTCCGTTTTGCCGTTGTTTTACCGGTCCCGACGTCGTTTCTTTTTATCGGTTCCGTCGCCGTTGTTTGACCGGTTCCGGCTCCGGTTCCAATCCTGGAGCCGTTTTTTTTGCCGTGTCCGGTCGCCGTTTTTTTACCGTTTCCGTTTTCAAGGGGCATTTTTTGGAAACGGTGAAAAAACGGCCCTGCCGTTTCCGTGGCCCACAAATCAAGGGAGGAAAAACCACCCCGACCCCGACAATTGGCGTTTACTAAACGACCCTGGGCGTTTACTAAACGGCCCTGCCCTGTTGGATTCTCTCTTCGGGTGCGTTTACTAAACGGCTTCGCTTGTCGGGGTGGTTATTCTCGGGGTGGATTTTCTGCCCTCCAACAAAGGCCAGGGTCCATCACGCTGGATAGCGGAGTGATCTGGTCTTGGTCAAGCTCCGGGTTGCGCGCAGGCAGCCCCCCCCCAGGAGTTCCAGTTGGCCTCAACAGGCCCTCCGAATAGTCCCGGCCGGTTGGCCTCAACAGGCCCTCCGAGTAGCCTTTCGGGAGACTCTCCATGGCGGGGGATCCCATGGGGGGGGCAGGGGGGGATCCCCCCCATGGGATCCCCTCCTGCCCCCCCATGGGATCCCCAGGGGATCCTATGGGATCCCCCCCCTGGGATCCTATCCCCCCATGGGATCCCCCCCCATGAAGAGTCTCCCGAGAGTAGCCTTGGGCGGTTTCAACACCCTGGAGCCGTCTCCGACGGCGCTCCTGGGCGCTCCGCGTCCCAGGGTTGGGGTGTCGAGACCGCCCTGGACTACTCGGGGACCCTGTTGAGACCAGCCGAGACTGCTCGGGGGGCCTGTTGAGGCCAGTTGGGACTATTGGAGGTGCTGTCTGCGCACAACCCGAAGCGTTTCCCCGCAGGCGAGCGGATCGAAGAAGGAATACATTCGTAAGCATAAACAGTCGGAACTCCGTGCAGATTTCTGGGACGGGCGCCGGGCTCCATGGCGCGCCAGGGAGGGGGGTTCCGGCGCCGTGCAGTTGTTGGTCTTCCAGTGAACGAGGGACGAGAAGGGGGGAAGCAGGAGGCAGCAGGGAGGCAGAACAAGGGAAAGAAGAGAAACGATGAAGGCGGAGGGGGAAGGTGGGAGGGGAGGAGAGATGCATCACGGCATCATGACGGATGTATGCTGGAGGAGGAAGGAGGAAGGCGTTAGGAGAGATGATGGCGAATGTGTGCTGAGGGAGGGGTGATGGAGGGAGGCGCGATGTTCGAGGGGGATATGGGGGAGGGACGAATGAAAAGGCAGGGAGGAGGGAGGAGGCACAGGAACGAGGATGGAAGGAGAGAGCAGGGAGGGTGACGGAAGGTGAGCAGGGAAGGTGGAGGAGGAAGCGGGGAGATGGTGCGGTGAGCGGCCGTAGCCATCTTGGCGCAAGTTTGAAATCCGAGTCGTGGGGCTTCGAGCTTGGAGGTTTCCGCCGCTGTGCGACAAAAATCGAAGGGGGCGCCCGACGCATTCCTTTCCCTCCCCTGTTCAGGGGGAGCCGCCGATCTTGGGGCCCCGCATGGCCCCTCAGTCTCGTTGGTGGGAAGCCTCTAGTCTCCGCAATGCGGCACCTTGGACGTGTAGCGTGCTTGGCACCGAACAATTCTGCCACGAAGACGCAGTGTTGGTCGTGCTTCGCTCCCGCTCCGAAGCGTGTGCAGTGTTCCATCAACAAGGCCGTTCTAGCCTCAGGCGCGCCGCCATGGCAGGCCCGCGCCCCCCAGCCGCCCAAAGGGCGCGGCAAGGGGGGCAAGCCTGATGTCTGCGGCGGCCCTCGCGCTGTTCACGGCGCTGGCGGCGCTGCAGGCGGCGGCGTTGCCGAGTCACGGAGCGGGCGCGGCTGTGGCGCCCGCACCTCCGCCAAGCAGCTCCTGCTGCTTGCGGGGACAGCGTGCCCGCCGAGCTCGACGAGGTCAGCGGCCCGAGGGGACTTCGACAGCGAGCTGAAGAGGAGACGCGAGGAACTCATCGAAAGGCTACGCCAAAGCGTGCTCGAGCAGGAGCGCGCCGCCAAGAGGCAGGTGCTGGGGTCCAGCTGCCAGCTGCTGGCAGCCAGCGCCGCGGCGGCCAGCGCCGGCTCTCCCCCTCTTTGGCCCGCGGGGGCGCTCCCGACACTTGGTGGGTGGGATGTGCGCCGTTTCGCTGCCCTTGCAACAAGGCGGGGACGCGGGGCGGGGGCGGAAGCGGCGAGGCCTTCTAGTGATAATGACCCTCAGCGCCAAGCTGTCGCGGAGCAGGGTGGTTGAGTTTTTGGCGGAGTAGGTCCAGACCGTCATAGGCGAGGGCGGCATCCCCATCGTGGTGGCGCAGGAACACGGCAAACCATCTGAATGCCTGATTATTTCAGGAGCAGCCTAAAGATATGAGAATGGACCAGCAGTCAGCGCAGCAAAAGGCGGCGTCTCTTCGGAGGTTGCCATCATCACCCCTGCGTGCTTGGCGATGAACACGGCGCCCGACCAGATGAGCTGGGACATCTCGCTTGAAGGAGCTGCTGGTAGATTCTGATTGGGGCTCACAGACGTTCGAGGCATAGGGTGGGTAGCGTTCTTCTCGGTGTACTTGTGGATTGGAATGCCCGTGACATGGGCGGCGACTGCGGCAGTCTTGGACACCATCGTTGACTGGGCCGTCGACCAGCGCATTCCGTGAATTGCTTTCGGCGGCTTCACTCAAGAGCCGCAGTCCATCTCATATATCCCACGACGCCAGCTTCGCGCAGGATGGCGACGATTCCATTCAGGCCGAGCGTCATTGGAAGCTGATGGAGCACTTGGGGCGCGCGCGCGTTGGGCGAGCTGTCCAAGTGCGAACCCACCGTCGCCATTGCGGTCGCCGTCAGTGAAATCATGATCTTCTGCCGGCAGAGGGCGACCGCTGGGGCGGCGCGACAGATGCGATCGAGAGCGGACTCGTTTTACAAACGGTGCAGCGACAAACGCCGAGGGTCTGGCAGCTGCGCGCGCGACATGACAGCGGAAGCAGGCTTGGATGGGCGCCCGCCAAATCGGCCGAGAACAATATGCCCCCGCAAGACCCACGGGGGGCGGCCGCCGCGAACCAGGAGAGTTGGAAGCTATCTGGAGGGATGGCGTTGGCAATTATCAAAAGTTGTGGCGGTGGGATCAGGCGAATGCGCGCGAGCGCAGCAGGCGCTGCAGCTTCCCGCCGTCAAGGCAGGCCAGCTGATAATTCAATGCTACAGCGGGAAGACCAGGCTCGGCATTAACGGCTGTCACTTCGGGCGCCATGGATGGCTCGCTGGCGAATGCTTCGAATGCTTGTCACGCATTCTCATGGCGTGCGAGGTCAGTTGCTCTTGGCTTGCTGCCGCGCGCGCGCTCGCCCACTTCCCCGTCGCGGAGCGGGGCGGAGGAGCCTGGCCTTCGCGCAATTCCCGGCGCCTGCTCGCATCTTTGAGACGGCGAGGGGCCCGCTGATCCGACAGCGGGAAGGCCAGTTGCACGCGGTCTGGAGAGCCGCGTAGGACGACGACTCTTAGCTGGGCGCGCTTTTCCAGTCCGTCAGTGGCCTTCTAGACTTCGAGAATGCGGGCGAAAGCGTTTCGCTCAATGTGACATGTTTCTTTGACGCGATGCAGGAGGTACCGATAGGCGCGCCGGCGCTGTCTCTCGAGCCGCTCGCCTTTCCGAGGGCGGTGCGAAACGGGCAGTCCGTCGCCAGTCACGCTCGCTTTGGCGGGTTTGCCAGTCGGGTCCAAGCGCGCAAATTGGTTCCCGAAGGCGGCGCTGTAGCCAGTGCCGGGAATGGCGAAGGCGCGGGCAGGCGCCGCGGTGGACATCGCCAAGTGCGTGGGCGACGCCACGGTCTGGGTTGGCAGCGCCAACCAGCAGCTGAGCGTTGTCTTCCCTGATGCGCCGAGCGCCGCCATTCCCGCGCGACTGCTGGAATCTGCTGGAGACATCGCGCAGATGAAGTTTTCCATCGGACCGCGAGGCAAATCCGAGTGAGCGTCGGACCCCGGCAACGTCGTCGGCGAGCTCAAGCCCGGGATGGGCGCGATGGGGCTCGAGCTCGCGGAGAATGGATGGCGGCTGATGGAAATGCGTCGCCCGCGACGAGATGGCGCGCTCCGCCGAGGGCAGATGGTCGAAGGCGGCCTCGCCCAAGCGTCGCGGGGCGAGCGCGGGGCGGGGCGTCCAGGCGCCCATCGCCGACGCCGCTTCGCGCAGATGTTCTTCCCCTTTCCAACGCGTCGCCCGCGGAGCAGAAGTGTCTGGCCGCGCGCGGCAGCGTCGGGGCTTTCAGACCAGGCGCTTTGCGGCCGCCGGCGCTGCGCGCGGACGGGCCCGGGCAAACGCGGCCGACGCGTGCTCGCGGAGCGCGCGCCGCGCGGGGAGGCGGTGGGCCCGCGGGGCGTCGCGCGAGGGGCGCCCAGGACAGGCGCGCGCGAGGCGCCGCCGCTGGAGATCGCCGGGGGAGTGGAGAGGGCCATCGACGCGAGGGGGCCCTGCGACTGCGCCGATGCGCGGGGTGAACCAGCTTCGCCG